ATAAATATGTAGACTGTCCCATCAAACTGAGTGCTACTTGAACTAAGCAGAAAGGATACGGCTCGTTTTGGTGATTTTTTAAAATTTTTCTTTTTGAACAATAATGCAGGAGCTGACTATGGGAACATAAGATGCGCAATTACTCCATTTTCTAATAATTCATTGATAACATCGTTTATTTGCTCTCGCGAAGCATAGAATATCCAATAAGGAGGTTAATATAAAAAAAAAAGTATTTATTTTGTGTTCTATTACTGGCAACATCCTAAATCGTAATCAGCAGAAAACTTGCGCTCTCTCGCAGGGAATCCCTTCTAAATTTCCGCCAATTTACTTTATTAATTCGCTAATGTGCCTGCCTCTGAAGCGGTATTAAATTTCGTAATACACCCCGAGCTTTTTGTCCTCCAAATGCATTATGTCTATTTATATCATTCGATATCTAGAATCGTACATATATTTTCGAGGGGAGAAAAACGTCTAAGATCTTCCACATTTATAATTAACGATAAAATTAATATTTTTGAATGACATTTTTTTCGAAAACTTTATTCATCGCCAAAATATAGTCTATTAAAATGTTTTTTATGTAAATAAAATAGATTTAAAATGATATAAAATATAAATTTGACCCGAAAAACACAATGATGAGCTTCAATTTTTGATTACATTTTAATTAGTTTAACCTAAAGTATACGCTCTCTACTTCAAAAACAGCAGTGTCTTTCCGCTGTAACTCGTACTTTTCCTGCAAACAGCAGAGTCATGCCGGTCATCTATCTATCTCACGATGTAAACACAAAGACATATCGAAACCTTTATATTTTTCGATACATTCTTCTTTCTTGAAATTTCTCATCAAGTAATGAACAATAAACTTTTTTTTTTTAAATGCTGTATTGTAAATTTGTGTACGAGGGACAACTCCATGCAACAAATGTAATATACACGTTATTAGTTTTAAATATCATAAAAATGCTTGACTGCATACTTTTCAGATGTTGCTATCATTGTAGAATACAATACTATCGCCCATAAACATACTTTAAATCGTGTTTACTTCGTCTTTCTACCGTTGCATGTTTCCAGAGTGATTAGAAGTGATTGTATCGCCTGAAAACAATTCCCGATGAATAAAATTTTAATTTACATACTTTTTTTAATAAGTTATTGGATTATGTATTTTAGACTTATTAGAATATTTTAAATCGTGTTTACTTCGTCTTTCTACCGTTGCATGTTTCCAGAGTGATTAGAAGTGATTGTATCGCCTGAAAACAATTCCCGATGAATAAAATTTTAATTTACATACTTTTTTTAATAAGTTATTGGATTATGTATTTTAGACTTATTAGAATATTTTAATATATTTAAAAATGTATTAAAATATTTTTGATATACAAGTATTGCAAATAATTTATAAATATAAATTTCATTACATTATAGCTTTTAAGTATTTAAAATAAAAGCGTATTTTTACATAGTGTTAGGATCAAATATTACTATAATAAGTCCTCATAGGAGTAAGTTTGCCATCCGAGTAGGACCAATAAGTGAAAAATTTGAACATAAGATAGAGCGGATTCAAAAAAATTATAAACACAAATAGTACTTGAATGGAAGTGTGAACAAAACTAATTGACACACTAAACTATTTATCATGTATAAAATCATTTTATTTGGAAGGATTTAGAACCGTGGAGCACTACCTGTTAAACATTATAAACCTTAAAATTTATCAAACTATGCGAGCCTCCCCGTAACATTTTAAGCTTAATTTCAGGTAAGAACCTCGTTTGCCTTGTTGTATACAAAAATAAGCAAGTTCTAACTAAATAAGTAAAATAAGTACTCAGAGAAAAATGTACCTTATATAATTTATAATTGAAAACATGTAATATTTCACAATGTTATTTATTGTTAAAGATGAAACTATACCTCATTCACACATTTCTCTTTCGGGTGTGTTTCCCTCAGACTAAAAATATGTGTTTTTGTTTATTTTTTCACTCCCTATCAATTAGGAAATCCTCTCAAGATTAAAATATCTATAGGCTTGTATTTTAATCATTATAAAATAGCATAAGCTACATTTTGAAATGGGATGAATTTTATAGAAAAACAACTTGTAAATTTCTTGATTTTTCGATGACACCCGAGTGTAAAATCATATTAACCTTACTGGAGTCGTTTTCTGACCGATTGCCATACTTTTCTTTAGCCACAAACCATAATATTCTATAAATTAAAAAAAGTTGTAAAGGGGCCTTTTTTGGCTTTACAACTTAAAGAAACAGTTAGAGATTTAAGGTTTTTATTTTTGTTTTCTCAAGATGTTAGAAATATTGTTTTTGTAGAAAAGTAATCATTAATGCCGCGGGCCAGATATGACGCCCGAACGCAACTTCTCCCGTCTGTGGGCCGCCTGTTTGCAACCCGTAATGTTGAGTCATTTAGACACACATATAATATATGCGAACTCACGTATAACGTAGATATATACGTGTGTGTGTTTGTATGTTTCTATGAGAGACAGAGACGGACAGAAACATGTCAACGTTCTTAACGAAACTACCCATAAAAAGGACAGAAAGGATCTGAAAGCGATTTTGTTTACCACGTAAAAAGATCGGTTATTCCAGACCGCTCAATTTAGATTCCGGCATAATTAATATACTAGTATATTGATGCGGTGATAAAATACGAACATCGTCATTACCAGACCAAACAAACAATTAGGTCTGGTGTAGTATAACACTTACTCTGTGTTTCTACTTCAACTACTGACGAGATAGAAAGAAAAACGCACAGGTTCAGATGCATTTTGTCTAAGCAAATTCTTCTTACCTTACTTGAGGCAGTTTCACTGAGAAACTGTTGTATTTCTTTTGGTCCTTCTACAGAGGTTTGGTTGCAAAAGCAATTAAGATATCCAGATTCTAAGCATAATAAATGACGTTTTCATTAAGAATACCTCTCAAATTTTATTTGATAAATCAATAGATTTTACCTAACATATCTTAATTACGTTCAATACATCCGCACTAAATATAGAAATCATAACATACGACATTCTAGAGAAAGTACTATTGCCTCCACCCTCTAACAATCCCTAAATTTTACCCCTCTTAAATAATGTATGTCTCTTAGGTAAAATGTTGTATACCTGTAAATGTATCCTATAATTTTCGATATTTAAAGCAAGTTTGAATTATGTTTATATAACCGATATTTATTTAATCGTAGAGTGTGTGTTTGTCTGTTATCTGCTTGTTATCGGGGTCATTTTTAAAATTTATTTAAAACTTTTATGTATCTAAATGTGGAGTAGTTCGCATACCTCCTTGAACATTTTAGATAATAGGTTTTGAGCCCTATCCGTAAGAAGTTGAATAGATGTAGTGTCTTAAAACAATGTGGATAACAAAGGCTTTAGCGTTTGTCAAATAGATGTACATCAGATGCGGGCTGTATTCAATATTATTGTTAGGAACCGGAAAAAATAAAAGTCATTTCTTTACCGCTTATTCGGCTACGGATATATAAGATCCGCCAGCAGGGTCGAAAGATGAAGTTTATATTAAAATTCTGATAGACTATAAGATCGTAGAATCTTGGTCTTGTCGGGCTTTCGACACCGGCCGAAAATTTAACGTTAAGCACTCTTTTGTGTAATTTAATAATTCTCCCGAGGGGGAGGATCAGTAGGCGAGTGATAGAATTTCGGCATGGACGTGAGTTAAAAAACGAGGCCATAATAAAGTAAGAAAACATTATTTAATAAAAAATAACAAATAAAATAAATTGTTGGGAAATTGTTAATCCCTATCTTATCATATTTCTGCGACTGTCTCAAATGGAAAAATCATTCTTTTTATTGTTCTTTCGGTCCAATCACGTAAAAAATCCGCTGTTCTAACGGGACTGGGGAGGAAGAGAATGAGAGAGGGAAGAGAGCGATAGAGAAAGACAGAAAGATGTCAACTATTTACGAAACTACCCATAGAAATGCCAAAAAAAAATCAAAAAACGATTTTGTTTTCAAAGTAAAAAAATCCTATTTTCCAAAGGGCTCAAGTTAGATTCCGGCATACTTCAAATACTAGTATATTAATGCGGTGATATAATGCAAACACCCTCTTTACCACACCAAAGAAACTATTAGGTCTGATGTAGAATAACACTTACTCTGTGTTTCTATTTCAATTACCTTTGACGTAGTAAAGAAAACTGGTGTATGTATACTGATCCTTCTACAGAGGTTTGATTCCAAAATATTTGTAAAAAATGTTTCGATTCTACGCATAATAAATGACGTTATCATTAAGAACACCTCTCAAATTTCTATTATATAAATTGATATATTTTACCTATTCACTAACAAAATTATGAAAACATCGAGAAAAACGTCTAAGTTCTTCCACATTTATAATTAACGATAAAATTAATATTTTTGAATGACATTTTCTCTCGAAAACTTTATTCATCGCCAAAATATAGTCTATTAAAATGTTTTTTATGTAAACAAAATAGATTTAAAATGATATAAAATATAATTTTGACCCGAAAAACACAATGATGAGCTTCAATTTTTGATTACATTTTAATTAGTTTAACCTAAAGTATACGCCTTCTACTTCAAAAACAGCAGTGTCTTTCCGCTGTAATTCGTACTTTTCCTGTAAACAGCAGAGTCATGCCGGTCATCTATCTATCTCACGATATAAACACAGAAATATATATACACACACATTTACGCAAAGACATATATATGTGTGTGTGTGTTTCTATGAAAGAAAAGATAGCGGGGTTTCAATTGTGCTTATCGACAGTAGACAGAACGATTTTGTTTTCCACTTGAAAAGATCAGTTTTTTTGGAGGAGCCAGTATAGCGTCAGGTATTATTCTGGAATTAATTGATTGACCCTAATAAAAGGTACTGAATTGTTCGGTCATTAGACTGGCACAATAAAAAGAGGAACTACGAAGAAAATAANTCCAAAATGTTAACCTATAATATTGCAAATAAAACTGAAAACTGGGAAATAACTTTGGTAGATGCAACACTGCAAAAAACAGAAATAAAATTTGTAATTTTGTTTTTGTTAATGCATTTTTACTTTTCATTCTTGACACTTGCATCAGAAACTTACCTCAAATTGTAAAAGAAAAATAACTGACTGAATAATGTTTTGGTGTACACAATCATCAAATTCGTTTAACTGCTATAAAAATGTAATTACAAAAAATAATTAAAATTTATTTGTACGAATAACTTAATTTTATGTGGAGAAAATTAAAGAAAAATCTCACAAACTGTTGCATAAATAAAGATTAAAGCTAAATAACTTAAATATTTTCGACAGGATTCGAGACAAAGGGGATGGAGCAGAGAGGACGTTTTTGGATAAAGATAAGAGAGAAAAGAGATTAATTTTTCTTACCTCCTGTGTGGCAGTTTGACAGAGAAACTGTTGTATTTCTTCTGATCCTGTTGCAGAGGTCTGATTTCGAAGGCAACTGTAAAAGATGTTCAGATTCTAGGGGTAATAAAGACGTTTTTATTAAAAATATCTCTCAATTATTTATTTTATAAAACAATATATTTTACCTCTGAACTAACGGGGTTCGACGAGGGAGAAAATAGTAGTTCAGTTTCTATTCGTTTGCGTTTTATTTTTTATAGAACACATCGTCGACAGCCTTGACAATAAGTTTTTATATCTTTGTTCATTGTTTGGCAATAAAATAACGATAGATGTTTTGTTGCATCTTTTGCTCTCCTAAATGACCTCCAATAGGACTGTCATAATAAATACGTATTATATATGGGATCACAATCAGTAGGAGTGTCACAATAAATACGGAGTGAGATCAAGACAGACGGTATGACTATTTGTTCTAGAGGTTCTTCTTGGCTAATAGGTCATAAGATCATCCAACTTCTAGATAATAGGATTTCACTTTGTATTTTGTCTCTGAAATTCTCAGAGTTGTTGCTTATCAGTCATCGTAAAGGACTATGGTCAGTAATAATTTAAATTTTCACTCATATAAGTAAGGTATAAAATATTTGGTGGCCCAGACTACTACTAGACATTCCTTCTGGATTGTGCTATACATTTTTCGGGTTTTCTTAGCATTCTGCTTGCATAAGCAATGGGTATTTCTTTTTTATCGTCTTCTTGCGATAAGACCGTTCTTACAGCCTCATTTGATGCATTTGTAGCTAATATATAAGGTTTAAAAAAGTCTGCAGACTTTAAGAGTGGAGAGGAAGTAACTATTTCTTATAGTAAAAGAATTATAAAAACAAATAGTACTTGAATGGAAGTGTGAACAAAACTAATTGACACACTAAACTATTTATCATTGATAAAATCATTTTATTTGGAAGGATTTAGAACCGTGGAGCACTACCTGTTAAACATTATAAACCTTAAAATTTATCAAACTATGCGAGCCTCCCCGTAACATTTTAAGCTTAATTTCAGGTAAGAACCTCGTTTGCCTTGTTGTATACAAAAATAAGCAAGTTCTAACTAAATAAGTAAAATAAGTACTCAGAGAAATATGCGAACTTACGTATAACGTAGATATATACGTGTGTGTGTTTGTGTGTTTCTATGAGAGAGAGAGACGGACAGAAACATGTCAACGTTCTTAACGAAACTACCCATAAAAAGGACAGAAAGGATCTGAAAGCGATTTTGTTTACCGCGTAAAAAGATCGGTTATTCCAGACCGCTCAATTTAGATTCCGGCATAATTAATATACTAGTATATTGATGCGGTGATAAAATACGAACATCGTCATTACCAGATCAAACAAACAATTAGGTCTGGTGTAGTATAACACTTACTCTGTGTTTCTACTTCAACTATTGACGAGATAGAAAGAAAAATGCACAGGTTCAGATGCATTTTGTCTAAGCAAATTCTTCTTACCTTACTTGAGGCAGTTTCACTGAGAAACTGTTGTATTTCTTTTGGTCCTTCTACAGAGGTTTGGTTGCAAAAGCAATTAAGATATCCAGATTCTAAGCATAATAAATGACGTTTTCATTAAGAATACCTCTCAAATTTTATTTGATAAATCAATAGATTTTACCTAACATATCTTAATTACGTTCAATACATCCGCACTAAATATAGAAATCATAACATACGACATTCTAGAGAAAGTACTATTGCCTCCACCCTCTAACAATCCCTAAATTTTACCCCTCTTAAATAATGTTTGTCTCTTAGGTAAAATGTTGTATACCTGTAAATGTATCCTATAATTTTCGATATTTAAAGCAAGTTTGAATTATGTTTATATAACCGATATTTATTTAATCGTAGAGTGTGTGTTTGTCTGTTATCTGCTTGTTATCGGGGTCATTTTTAAAATTTATTTAAAACTTTTATGTATCTAAATGTGGAGTAGTTCGCATACCTCCTTGAACATTTTAGATAATAGGTTTTGAGCCCTATCCGTAAGAAGTTGAATAGATGTAGTGTCTTAAAACAATGTGGATAACAAAGGCTTTAGCGTTTGTCAAATAGATGTACATCAGATGCGGGCTGTATTCAATATTATTGTTAGGAACCGGAAAAAATAAAAGTCATTTCTTTACCGCTTATTCGGCTACGGATATATAAGATCCGCCAGCAGGGTCGAAAGATGAAGTTTATATTAAAATTCTGATAGACTATAAGATCGTAGAATCTTGGTCTTGTCGGGCTTTCGACACCGGCCGAAAATTTAACGTTAAGCACTCTTTTGTGTAATTTAATAATTCTCCCGAGGGGGAGGATCAGTAGGCGAGTGATAGAATTTCGGCATGGACGTGAGTTAAAAAACGAGGCCATAATAAAGTAAGAAAACATTATTTAATAAAAAATAACAAATAAAATAAATTGTTGGGAAATTGTTAATCCCTATCTTATCATATTTCTGCGACTGTCTCAAATGGAAAAATCATTCTTTTTATTGTTCTTTCGGTCCAATCACGTAAAAAATCCGCTGTTCTAACGGGACTGGGGAGAAAGAGAATGAGAGAGGGAAGAGAGCGATAGAGAAAGACAGAAAGATGTCAACTATTTACGAAACTACCCATAGAAATGCCAAAAAAAAATCAAAAAACGATTTTGTTTTCAAAGTAAAAAAATCGTATTTTCCGGAGGGCTCAAGTTAGATTCCGGCATACTTCAAATACTAGTATATTAATGCGGTGATATAATGCAAACACCCTCTTTACCACACCAAAGAAACTATTAGGTCTGATGTAGAATAACACTTACTCTGTGTTTCTATTTCAATTACCTTTGACGTAGTAAAGAAAACTGGTGTATGTATACTGATCCTTCTACAGAGGTTTGATTCCAAAATATTTGTAAAAAATGTTTCGATTCTACGCATAATAAATGACGTTATCATTAAGAACACCTCTCAAATTTCTATTATATAAATTGATATATTTTACCTATTCACTAACAAAATTATGAAAACATCGAGAAAAACGTCTAAGTTCTTCCACATTTATAATTAACGATAAAATTAATATTTTTGAATGACATTTTCTCTCGAAAACTTTATTCATCGCCAAAATATAGTCTATTAAAATGTTTTTTATGTAAATAAAATAGATTTAAAATGATATAAAATATAAATTTGACCCGAAAAACACAATGATGAGCTTCAATTTTTGATTACATTTTAATTAGTTTAACCTAAAGTATACGCTCTCTACTTCAAAAACAGCAGTGTCTTTCCGCTGTAACTCGTACTTTTCCTGCAAACAGCATAGTCATGCCGGTCATCTATCTATCTCACGATGTAAACACAAAGACATATATACACACGCATACACGCTAACACATATATATGTGTGTGTGTGTTTCTATGAAAGAAGAGATAGCGGGGTTTCAATTGTGCTTATCGACAGTAGACAGAACGATTTTGTTTTCCACTTGAAAAGATCAGTTTCTCTCGAGGTGCCAGTATAGCGTCAGGTATTATTATAAAATTAATTGATGGACCCTAATAAAAGGTACTGAATTCTTCAGTCAATAGACTGGCAGAATAAAAAAAAGAACCACGAAGAAAAGAAAAATTAAGTAAAAAACATAAAGGAAATCTTGTCTGGTGTGCTTAAAGAGAGAAGAATGCTACTGCAACCTGTATAAAATGTCGAAATATGTATGTATGTAGCTTAGGTGTAGGGATATTATAAAAATTTATACCTTAATTACGTTCAATACATCCGCACTAAATATATAAAGGATAATATACGACATTCTAGAAACATTGCTGTTGCTTTTACCCTCTAACGATCGCTAATTTTTACTCTTCTTAAATAATGTATGTGTTTGGTTAAATATTTTATACCTGTAAACGTATCCTATAATTTTCGATATTTAAAGCAAGTTTTAATTGTGTTTATATAACCGATATTTATTTTGTCGTAGAGCGTTTGTTTGTCTGTTCTCTGCACGTTATCAGGGTCATTTTTATGATATATTTGAAATTTTAATGTATCTAAATGTGGAGTAGTTCGCATACTTTCTTGAACATTTTAAATAATAGGTTTTAGCACTATCTGTACAAAGTTAAATAGATGTAGTGTCTTAGAACAATGTCGATAAGAAAGGCTTTAGCGGTGGTTTTACTATAAATATTAGGTAAAGGCATAGCTTCGGCGTATCGACTGAAATGGTTTACGAAGACTAATATATATTTATTTCCATTTATTGTGATGGGTAAAGGACCTAAGATGTCCATAACGGTTCGTTCAAATAGGTTCGACGAGGGAGAAAATAGTAGTTCAGTTTCTATTCGTTTGCGTTTTATTTTTTATAGAACACATCGTCGACAGCCTTGACAATAGGTTTTTATAGCTTTGTTCATTGTTTGGCAATAAAATAACGATAGATGTTTTGTTGCATCTTTTGCTCTCCTAAATGACCTCCAATAGGACTGTCATAATAAATACGTATTATATATGGGATCACAATCAGTAGGAGTGTCACAATAAATACGGAGTGAGATCAAGACAGACGGTATGACTATTTGTTCTAGAGGTTCTTCTTGGCTAATAGGTCATAAGATCATCCAACTTCTAGATAATAGGATTTCACTTTGTATTTTGTCTCTGAAATTCTCAGAGTTGTTGCTTATCAGTCATCGTAAAGGACTATGGTCAGTAATAATTTAAATTTTCACTCATATAAGTAAGGTATAAAATATTTGGTGGCCCAGACTACTACTAGACATTCCTTCTGGATTGTGCTATACATTTTTCGGGTTTTCCTAGCATTCTGCTTGCATAAGCAATGGGTATTTCTTCTTTATCGTTTTCTTGCGATAAGACCGTTCTTACAGCCTCATTTGATGCATTTGTAGCTAATATAAAAGGTTTAAAAAAGTCTGCAGACTTTAAGAGTGGAGAGGAAGTAACTATTTCTTATAGTTTTTGAAGGCTAGTTGCCAAAATTCCGATAGATCACTTATTGCCGATAAATATGTAGACTGTCTCATCAAACTGTGTGCTTCTTGAACTAAGCGGAAAGTATACCGGTCGTTTTGGTAATTTTTCTTTTTGACCAATAATGCAGGAGCTGACCATAATGTCATAGAATGCGCAATTACTCCATTTTCTAATAATTCATTGATAATATCGTTCATTTAGTTTCGCAGAGCATAGAATATCCGATAAGGAAATTAATATATGGAAGAAGCATCTCCAGTATTTATTTCGTGTTCTATTACTGGCAACATCCTAAATCGTAATCAGCAGGGAAACTTGCGCTCTCTCGCAGGGAACCCCTTCTAAATTTCCGCCAATTTACTTTATTAATTCGCTAATGTGCCTGCCTCTGAAGCGGTATTAAATTTCGTAATACACCCCGAGCTTTTTGTCCTCCAAATGCATTATGTATATTTATATCATTCGATATCTAGAATCGTACATATATTTTCGAGGGCCTCGGTTCTCGATTTTCGCTGTACCAAAAGGTGTGTTTCTGATAAACTGAACTAGGTTATATAAGAATTATTTTTTAGGCAGGAAAAAAGAAAATATTTTAAGAAAACTTCGATATTTTTATATTTAGAACAAAAGTGAATTGTTTATACTAATTGCATTTAAATCCATACTTTCCCTTAACTAGTTAAAGTGAAAACACATAGAATAAGTGATATAATACGAACACGCCCCTTGCACCACGAAAACAATTTGGTGTGGTGTAATATAACGATTTCTCTGCGTTTCTACTGTAACTACTGAACAGGTAGTAAAGAAAACACACACATGCAGATGCATTTAGTGTGAGCGGATCTCTTTTCTTATATATAAAATAAGTAATGTTGGAAAGATGTTGAAGATAAAAGAAAATTTATATTATTTTAAATACATTTTAATCGATCTCTTGTAAAATATAAGTAAATACGCGAGTAAAACGATTCAGTGTACGTGATTATGCATAGAAGGAAAAAAAATAATGCTTAAATCCAAATTTATTTTCTTTTAAATATTTGAATTACATTTAAATTTAAAGAGAAATTTAATACATTTTTCGTTAAAATACGTAAAATTTCGCTGAAAATGCAGTTAACAAAAATCCAAAATGTTAACCTATAATATTGCAAATAAAACTGAAAACTGGGAAATAACTTTGGTAGATGCAACACTGCAAAAAACAGAAATAAAATTTGTAATTTTGTTTTTGTTAATGCATTTTTACTTTTCATTCTTGACACTTGCATCAGAAACTTACCTCAAATTGTAAAAGAAAAATAACTGACTGAATAATTTCTTGGTGTACACAATCATCAAATTCGTTTAACTGCTATAAAAATGTAATTACAAAAAATAATTAAAATTTATTTGTAGGAATAACTTAATTTTATGTGAAGAAAATTAAAGAAAAATTCCACAAAGTGTTGCATAAGTAAAGTTTAAAGCTAAATAACTTAAATATTTTCGAAAGGATTCGGGACAGAGGGGATGGAGCAGAGAGGACGTTCTTGGATAAAGATAATGGAGAAAACAGATTAATTTTTCTTACCTCCTGTGTGGCAGTTTGACAGAGAAACTGTTGTATTTCTTCTGATCCTGTTGCAGAGGTCTGATTTCGAAGGCAACTGTAAAAGATGTTCAGATTCTAGGGGTAATAAAGACGTTTTTATTAAAAATATCTCTCAATTATTTATTTTATAAAACAATATATTTTACCTCTGAACTAACGGTATTATTAAAACATTTGGCAAAACAGTCGAGATCATTTACACCTGTAAAAAACGTCATAATTAGTGAGATCAGTAAGGAAAGTCACAATATAGAAAACACATGCATATTTTCAATTGTCGGTTATACATTTTAAATAAATAACGGTCTCCTCCTATACATGTAAAAGAGTTTTTATTATAATAATGGTATTAATAAATTACTTTTTTTTTTTAAATTTATATAAATTTTTACACTTTTTATATTAATTAACAACAGTAAAAAAGTATCTTACTGCAGTACTCGTCAATATAATATGGTCTATTGGTCGAATCGGCACGGACACTCCATACCATCATCAACACGAAGGATAAAATGAAAGTTGAGAACATTCCTTTCATCATAGTGACTTCGTTTTTTGCTATAATATCAACAGATTACGATTAATTAATATTACTTATTTTTAATAAATAAATAAAATTAGTATCTATATTCTACAATAGAAACACACATATAGTTATAACAGGAAACTATTATATACAGAGAAAAAACACTACTAAATTGAAGTTAATAGTGGCCCAAAATAAAAGTTACTTGACTGGAGAGTCATTAGACCCGCAGAATCCCTTAAAAATAGTAACAATACAAGAATGATAAGAAAATAATATAAGAATTTTTGTCTGGGGTGCCCGAAGACAGAAGACTGNAAAAAGTATCTTACTGCAGTACTCGTCAATATAATATGGTCTATTGGTCGAATCGGCACGGACACTCCATACCATCATCAACACGAAGGATAAAATGAAAGTTGAGAACATTCCTTTCATCATAGTGACTTCGTTTTTTGCTATAATATCAACAGATTACGATTAATTAATATTACTTATTTTTAATAAATAAATAAAATTAGTATCTATATTCTACAATAGAAACACACATATAGTTATAACAGGAAACTATTATATACAGAGAAAAAACACTACTAAATTGAAGTTAATAGTGGCCCAAAATAAAAGTTACTTGACTGGACAGTCATTAGACCCGCAGAATCCCTTAAAAATAGTAACAATACAAGAATGATAAGAAAATAATATAAGAATTTTTGTCTGGGGTGCCCGAAGACAGAAGACTGTTTATTAATCTGTATATAGAAGACCGAACGTTATAGTTCGGGTAGCACGACGCCTTTCCAAGCAATTATAATGCTCCTATTCGAAGTAGAGAGAAAGACTTCGAAGTCACATAGATAAATTGAATTTAAATTACATTGAGAGTAAACTTACCTTTGAACAGAAAATAGTTAGTCAAACGAGCTGAAATCGCTTCATTTTATAGGAAAATCTTACACGTAATGTGTCATGTGACAAAAACTCCATTTTCAAGTGGCGTATACTGACGTCATCAACAGGTTTTGTTTGTTCTGAAAATGTTACTCCTACGCAATTTTTCCTTTACTCTTATAAACTGAATTAAGTTTATATACATCTTAAAAAGAGTACTGTTGCGCTCACCCTCTAACGATCCCTAAACCTCGACGTCTTTTAACATACATTCACTAAGTGATTAATTGTTTAATTAACGTACACTTTATTTATAATACCGTTGTTCTTATTACTACTTTCATCCCCTGAATAACCCCAATAAGGAGGTTAATATAAAAAAAAAAGTATTTATTTTGTGTTCTATTACTGGCAACATCCTAAATCGTAATCAGCAGAAAACTTGCGCTCTCTCGCAGGGAATCCCTTCTAAATTTCCGCCAATTTACTTTATTAATTCGCTAATGTGCCTGCCTCTGAAGCGGTATTAAATTTCGTAATACACCCCGAGCTTTTTGTCCTCCAAATGCATTATGTCTATTTATATCATTCGATATCTAGAATCGTACGTATATTTTCGAGGGCCTCGGTTCTCGATTTTCGCTGTACCAAAAGGTGTGTTTCGGATAAACTGAAGTAAGTTATATAAGAATTATTTTTTACGCAGGAAAAAAGAAAATATTTTAAGAAAACTTCGATTTTTTTATATTTAGAACAAAAGTGAATTGTTTATACTAATTGCATTTAAATCCATACTTTCCCTTAACTAGTTAAAGTGAACATACATAGAATAAGTGATATAATAGGAACACGCCGCTTGCACCACAAAAACAATGCATGAACATGCATTACGAAAACAATTTGGTCTAGTTTAATATAACGATTTTTCTGTGTTTCTACTGTAACTACTGAAGAGGTAGTAAAGAAAACACCCACATGCAGATGCATTTAGTGTGAGCGGATCTCTTTTCTTATATATAAAATAAGTAATGTTGGAAAGATGTTGAAGATAAAAGAAAATTTATATTATTTTAAATACATTTTAATCGATCTCTCGTAAAATATAAGTAAATACGCGAGTAAAACGATTCAGTGTACGTGATTATGCATAGAAGGAAAAAAAATAATGCTTAAATCCAAATTTATTTTCTTNGTTCATGTAACACAACTTTTGCTTACACCTAAACACAAACACGTGTCAAACTGTACGTGTTCGATTAGAATAATTTTATTTACTATTTATTATTTTAAGTGTATTATTACGAATTATTATTATTCTGTTTTGATTAAGTATTGTAAATTAAGTATAGAAATAAAATAAATAAACAAAGCTACATGTTATTCGTTTGCTAAATATTACATTGCTGTTATTAATAAGCTTTGGTTCTGATATAAACATACACTCTTACAGTTAGTTTCACGTTTACCAATGTTTAGTCACACTTACATTCACATTCCTTCTGTCAGGAAGCTGTGAATTTCACGATTCGAGTCATAAATCATAAACTTCTACACAAGTTTTAGTTAAATCGTAGGCTTTGTTGGGCTGTACAGACGTGGTTTTAGTTTTAATAGGGCACTATGTTTTTTGTTTTCTATTATCTTCACTTGTCTCTTACTATACTGCATATTATCCTGTTTTTTACTTTCTTTATTAAAAGGTTTTGGCTTTACAGCGAGTCAGCAGCATGGCACTACTTCAACCAAGTAGTCTCTACTGTCTCCCGGTTCAGAATGTGTCTTTTTCCTGTCTTGACGGTTTTGTATTCCCGCAGTCACTTTGCGAAGTGTTTTTCCGTCGGCTATCCTTTCCATTGTTTTTGGCTAGTTATAATTTTATTTCATACGTTTTGGGCACCCTCTTTCTCTCTCTTATTAGAGTTTCAAAACTAATACTACTTGGTGCATGACAGGTTCGCTCTGTCTTTTCGTTTTCTTTTCTGACTGTTAGTTTTGTTTTCATGGCTTCATTATTTAACTTGTTTCTCTTCGAATTGCTTTTTTATATCCTTCTTTTTTTAGGTTGTTTTTCTACCACTTTTTCCCCTATAGATAGACGATAGAAAGAAGGCGTTTAAGCTAGTATGCCAGGGATTTCTTAATTTTGCATGTAAAGGTTTAAACACTGGAATCCTTCTGGGTCGGCGCCGTGTACCGGGTAAGCTTCCTAGACGGCTGTTCCAGGCGATCTTCCTTTCTTTTGGATCGCTTTTTCCTGTCGAGTAGTACAAATATAGCCTCAAATGAGGCGTCCAGCATAGTGTCTAATCGATGGTAACACCGAGGTATTTAAGCGCATTTAGTCTTTTGATGAGGTTTCTCCGGATCCAGTATATTGGTTGGCAGACTAACACTCCACTTCGGGCTACCATCAGGGCCTCCGATTTCTCAGGGCTGAACGAGAGCTTGTGCAGCTCAACCCTGTGAACGAGTTGTTCTATTGCTTCATTGCCACGACTCTCCATGTCGCTATGGCTGTAGCCTGCAACTACTAGCAACAGATCGTCTGCATATGCCTGCAACTGGACGTCGTCTGGAAAAACTAGTCGCAGCACCGTGTCTGCTAGAACCTTCCTAAGTAAGGGGCCGATACGAGATCCTTGGGGACAACTTCTTTTCCAGTATTTTTGTATAGCTTGCACTTGGTGTTTTATAAACTACGTCGCGGTCGCTCAGGAAACTACTGGTAAGCGATACAAGGGTGGTTGGCAGGTTAGCCTTCTTAAGTTCACCCACTATAAATGGACACCAGACGTTGTCAAAAGCCCCCGCGATGTCCATCGAAACAAGCGACATGTGGAGGCCCTGCCGGCGGTACTGGCAAACCAGGAAAACCGCATAATGTATCGCTTGGAAGGTAGAGAAATCCGGCTAGAACCCATATTGATGTGGATGTAACAGCCCTTTCCGCTTAAAGCAGTAGTATACTCTGTCATTAAAGATTCTGTCGAGAACTTTCCCTAGGACTGGCAAGAGACTGATCGGTCTATACGACTTCGGTTCGTTCTTCGAACGCCTATTCTTATGAATAAACACAAGACGCGCCTGTTTTTACTGCACTGGGAAATGACCCAGGAGCAGACACCTCTGATACAGAGTGCAAAGCAGGCCAGAACGTTCATGTTGCAGAACCTGTACCATTTCGGCTGTGATCTCATCAACGCCAGGAGCATTCCTCTTTTTTAAATTGTCCACAACGTGGGCAACTACAGATTCTGTCACTGGCACATCTCGGCCTCAAGAACAGACAGCTCCACGTCACTTCGAAGCCGCATATGTTATTTAGTATCATCAGACCGCTCATTGCATGAAATATCCGAGCGGAGCAGCACCCGTATCGATTCCTCCTGTGTAGAGGTTAGGGTATCATCAGGTCTTTTTATAGCCCCAAGAACGTACTACGCTTAACTTTGCTCACCACAAGCTTGTAGGGTAGACAGAACAGGTTTATGTCACTGATTTCATGACAGAATCTGAGCCATGAGGTCTTTTTTGCATCGTTCAATTTGTACTTGTACTCAGCATTGGCCCTCTGGAACTCCAGTTTTTTGGTAGCCCGAAGGTCATTGTCCCCGCATCGTTAAAAGCGTCGGCAGAGCGCCCTCACACACATACATAAGATACTCAGCTCCTAAGTTCACCAAGGAACTGACCAGTGGTTGTTGGGTTGCTGCTGCATGAGTGTGCAGTCTTTTGCTCCTCTAACTGCATCGGTGAGGTTGGCCACAACTTCCTCCAGATCCTTGACACTCTCAACCTTAGAAACTTGAGTAGCGATATCGGCTGTCTTTTCTACGAGGCATTTGCACAATCGATCATGGTTTTCAGTAGTTAGCTTTTAACGGCAGCTCGGCCAGGCAATCGAGCCGCACATCACCTCAAAAAAAATGAAGCGATGATCGCTACAGCTTTCCACATCGATCGATTCTCATTGCGAGGCCAGTCTCAGCATAGCACCACTAACGATAGAGAGGTCAATCCAGCTTTCACTCAGAAATGAGGATAGGTAGCAAATCCAAACGAATCGTTCAGGACATGCAAATTCCAGCCCTCCACCGTCTCCTTCATCATGTTCCTGTCGGGATCGTCCACAGGGGATCCCCACAGTGAGTGCTTGGCGTTAAAGTCACCAGCCAAGACAACCCAACTGCAAGGCAGAAAAACCCTTTTGAGTTCACTCAGAAGGTCTCCCAGATAAAGTGACAGCGGGCGATAAGCAAACACCACGACCCAGTTGGTGGTAGGCGACCGTATTTCTACGGCCACTACGAATCGAGAAACGTGGACAGCATATGCATCGACATCCATACGTGTGAGAATAACTGCAGTACGACATTCGTCACCTTCTTTGGCAAAAACGCTCCATTGTAACAAGAGAACACCGACTTTTCCATGTACTAGGTACAGCTTTTGGAGCAGGATAATATCAACCTCTTCCTCTGCCACTTCCACCTTTAATTGGGCGATATTGGCGCGACACTTCTTGGCTTTAAACTGCAGTATTTTGCAGGCGCGCTCGTTCATCTGCTGTGTGTTAAAGAAGGCAGATTCGATCACAAGAGGCACATTCCCTTTTACTGACCTGAGTCAGTTTTAGCCTAAGCTCTCTCGAGCACCCGTATATAACACGGCAGCTGGCAATTATTGCTGAGTGGACGGTCCCCAGCTGCAGACAGAACTTTTCGTTTGCCTTAATGCAGTTAACGCGTTTAGGCGTAGTGGCCTTACACTCCCCTTAGGAGTAACCCTCGGCACACTTGCTACATGTTTGGGCTCCCACTGAACAGCCGTTTGCTAGGTGGTTGAACCCGTAACACTTGTAGCATCAGGTGATTGTTTGCCTGAGGAGGTGGAAACGAAGACTTCCCCAGAAGTAGTTCCAGTCGAGTCCGAATCGGCTAAGCCGGATCCTTGCATAGACAAATGAAACAAATGTCTAGGGCCTGGTTTTCAAAAAGGCCCGGTTAAGTTGTTTATTTCGAAAGATATTGATAAAATTTTTTAAATTCTTAATACAAACATAACGGACGGCGACGACGAGGACGTATCAA